GTTCCAAACAAGATTAATACCTGAAGTAGTCGGAAACATCTTCTTCCCTGAAGATACTGTCAGCCGGGAAAGTCAGATAGATCTGTCTGGAAGCCGGGCAGGCCATGGCCGAAAGGTCGATCCTCTCTGGCCTCCATCTTCCCAACTTGTGCAAGTCATCGCCCATCATCAGAGCAGCAGCTCTGCTACACATTTTACCAACCAAAGTTTCAGATACCCATCCATACATCAAGATGATTTTTAAATTTAAAAAAAAAAAAAAAAAAAAGCTCCAACCTTTTGGCTTCACTCTGCTGCAAGTTAACACCTTTGGGGGAGAATGGATAACCGGTGAACTGATGGGCAAGTCTCGGAGGAACAGAGCTTTGATGATGGATGTCTAATTTGCAGTCAGCGTAGGAGTACTGTCCCCATCCGAACCCTAAATCGTCGGAAACGCAACCGCCGGTTCTCGGAGCCAAGAAAGAAAGCCGCTCGTCGAGATCTTTCTTGGCCTTGGCTATGACAGAATGAAGTAGATTCTGAGGCCCGAAAGCTAACCTTATCATCTCCTTCTCTCCGTGATCCTGAAGGAGGAGGAGGCCCATGATCTTGGAAGCATTAGCTGGGTCTAAGCTCTGGATTCTAGAGAGCACGACCCTAGTTGCTTCGTACACATCCATGGAAACACACTCTTTGGTCGATGAGACCTTGTCTCTCTCTCTCTCTCTTAATCTTCTCTTTGGCAGGAAAAAAGAAACACTGCTTTTGTTGTCTTGGTGTTGTGTACAAAAGGATGTTTGGTTTCTTGTCTTGGACTTTAGCAAATCTAAAAAGGCTTTCTTTCTCAACTACCTTACCATCATCATCATCATCATCACTCCAGTACCACTCCACTCCATACCTAAGCTTCTTTCTCCTCTTCTCTAAATTCTCAAAGTTGCTTCTTCCCTCGTGTGGTGTGGTGTGGGGAAATTAAAAAAAAAAAAAAAAAAAGAGTAAAGAGTGGAGTGACTGTGTCTTCTGAGCTCCAACTCCCAAGTGAGTGGGTCAAAGCGTCAAACTTTGGAGTTTTGCAATCAAACACAACACTCTCTTTTTTTTTTTTTTTTTTCCATCAACACAACACTCTCTCTCTCTCTCTATCATTTAAGTATTTTTTTTAAACAATACAACAAAACCTTACCATATGATTCTCTATTGTATAATCATCTTTTATACTATACTAGAAATAAACATGTTTTTGTCTGTTTCAGCAGCATTCTATAGATTACAGAATGTGGGTTTCTGATTTTCAAACTTTTATTTGCAAATTCAGTTTTATGCAGACATATTATTTGATTTGACCTGTCGTTTCATTATATTCCATGCATACATTTTTAAATTATACTCCTAAAGCTTATCTTTTTCTTGGTGCTAAAAATTGCTTCCCCCAATAATCAGTCTATTGCAGTAAAGTCTTCTTTTATTATTATAGATACTCAAGGATTATAAATTTATCAAAATAGCTTACTTAAATGTTTAAAAATATAAAGCTGAAATTGATGAATGTTGAAAAGAAGAAGAAGAGAGCAATCATTAAAATAATGACGTCGATATGAGTTACACGGCCCTCACCCTCACCATTGCTAAAATTACTGAGCACACACATACATACAATACTCTTTTTTTTTTTGTAAATCCAAAGATTATATATATATAAAAGATGATTGCATTTGCACGTTCTCTTGCTTTCAACCATCTCTGACACCGAACAATTTTTGTGTTCAGGTATAGGAGCGAACCTTTTTATTCACCTCCTTCACTATTAACCAATTATTATGTCATGTTATATAATACTAAATATAAATAAAAAACTAATTAGAAAAATAAAATTAATTAAGAAAATAAATCATTAATATTAAGATTTATTAATTAACGGAGTCTTAGATTACCAAAACAAAACATTGATTTCATGAGATTTACCACAAAAAAAAAAAAACATTAAGTTCATTTTCTTCGTAGGAACATTGATTTCATGAGTTTTACCCCAAAAAAAACATTGATTTCATAAGACTAGACACATGACGATAGACAGAGATTTTATAATTACAAACTCAAAACAAGAAGAATACATAATTGATAATCTTATACAAATTGATTGAATTCACCTGATCCTATATTTTCAAATTAAAATTCTTCTTACAGATACAAGAGCAGTGTTCTCTAGATGTATAATATACGTTCTTCCTAGAGTCTAAAAAAATATCAATTATACTAACAGTCGCATGGCTTCGATGTTGCAGATGGAATAGTTCCAGAATTCTGAAACCGAAAACCTAAAAGAAGAAGAAGAGAACGACTCCGTTAATTTGTTTTGATTGTCTACGATTCCGTTAATTAATACTAGTTAAATCTTACTGTTAATGATTTATATTTTAAATTAATTTTATTTGTTTATTTAATTTTTAATTTTATTTAAGTATGATTGACTAAGAATGAAGGGAGTGAATACAAGGGTTCCATTTACACACAAGTACGTAGCCATTGGGTGTGATCCTCACGCGCCAGTGATCACACATGCATTGTATTGCCAAGCTACTCTTATTATTAGTTACTCCCTCCGTTTTCGAATAGTTGTCGTTTTAGAGAAATTTTTTTGTTTTTAATTAGTTGTCGTTTTCAGTTTTCGATGCAAAATTTATTACTTTTTTATTTTTTATATTTATTTTTATTATGCAACTTGATTTACTATTGGTTAAATTATATTTAGATAGATAATTAATGATATTTTTATATTGAAAAACTAACAACATTAATAGTTTTTTAATTTGTGTGCATATAGTTAAAACGACAGCTATTCGAAAACGGAGGGAGTACCTCCTCATTCGGATTCAGAAACCACAATTGTCAATTGAGGTTGCTCTCTCTCTCTCTCCCTACTTACCTTACTTATTCAAGTCATCACAACACAAAGTCTGTGCCTTACGTCAGTCGTCAACGACGTTCCAATCATCAATGCCTTTTTGGTTTCTTCCTAAATACTGTCTTTATCTCTCTTTCAGACTCTCTCACATAAATCCATAGTACTAATTTTATAAGCAACGTCTCTCAAGTCAAGCAAATTGGTGGTAATGCGTTTTTTGGGTCCATAAACATACACTCTCCACTGTATGGGCCTATATTTCCTCGCTATATGGGCCTGTTTTATTAAACCCAAAGATTAGATATTTTCATCTACAAGACCTGCTGTAACCACATTTGATTTGTCCTGTCGCTTCAATTCTCCTTTCTTTCTACTACCTCTCGCTTCCTATTCTTCTTATTATGGGGTCAAATTGTGAAATCTGTCTTCTCAATACTAACCGAGAATTCATGGAGCTGTGTATTCAGACTTACTGATAAATATATTACGCAAGTATTAGTGTACTTTACATATTCATTGGATTCCTGATAAACAAAACACAGATTTGTTTAGTTCTAAAGAATTGTCTTAATCAGGATCTTATAAAAACAGTTAGTAGATATCAAGCTCTTTCTATTCGCATTTAGGAAGGGTCCTATCTCTCTCCTGGCTTCCCTATCAAGGTTCAGCAGCTCGATTATCCGATTCCGAAGCAGAGCACGAGAGAGGATCCTCTGTTTTATGGACTTAAGGGACTTTTATGCTTCTCTTCATCAAATCACTCGGTTACCTCTCATCGACCTCCCACGTCGGTGGCTCGGAATTTGACCGTCATGTTCGTGTTCATCACTGGGGTATTGCTCTTCTTCTTGGAATTCAAGAGGTGCAAGATGGACGAGAAGGCATTTGCGGAGTGCACGGCATGGGGCGCATTTCTTCATAAAGTTTGTTCAACGCGTTCTAGGATACTCCCCTTACGCGTAGTCACCCTTTATTAGTATTCTGGCGGGAATATTATTAAGTGGCTCCGAATGCTACTTTTTTGCTTAGTCCATGTTTCGAATATGCCAAAAAAAAAGAGAGTAAAAAAAATTCGTAGAAGAGAAACGTACAAACTTGTCCGGTAAGGTAACATCCAAAAACATGAGAATGTTAAAGCAACTTGATGATCTCTATCTTATCTAAACAAAAGAGTAACTGGATGCAGCAGATGAGGTTCATAAATGTAAAAAAAAAAAAAAAAAAAACGTCGTTTTTAAAAGAACAAAATTAAGAAAGCAAAAGGTGTCTGATACACACGTCCCTCCTTTAGATTCATAAAAATTTTCCATGAACCCAGAAAATAAATAATCATCGCACACTTTGCCTCGCCTTGACCATCATCCGCTTTAGTGTTGCCAGCCAGAAGTTGCATTCGTCCCATTCGTTGGTCGTCAGAAGTACCTGTTTGTTTGTTTTTGAGTCAATAAAACTGATTATTAAACACCAATCATGTATCAAGTAACCCAGAAGAGATCAATTCACTAGCTTACCTGTATTTGAAGGGCTGCGCTGTAGTCATTGTTGTCCAGAGCTTGACACAGCTGTGCGAGTTTGTCCGCAGCATTCTTGGAGATGTCTCCGCTGTTGAGTTTCACAAACAGAGCACCTAATTTTCTCGAGTTGTCTTCTATCTCACGCTTCTTAGTAGGATTTGCACGTGCGCCTCCCAGTGCTTCCGATGTCTCATTAAAAAGCCTTGTCAACGTTGCTATCACAGGTTTCTGGTGGGCTGGATCAGTTTACAACAGGTGATCATTATATGACTTCAATCAGAAACAAAACAGACATAAGGCGCTAATGTCACGTCGTACAATACCTGGAACGTTGGAAGTATCTGCAGTCTGAACAGTTGGTGGCGGAGTTGCAGGCGTAGGGGCTGCCTGCGCAGCTGCCTGCTGTGTTGGAGGACTAGCTGGTTGCACAGATCTTGGAGCAACTCCTGGAGTTGCCATGGGCGTAAATCCTTTGGGTCCAGCTGCTGGAGCCACAACTTGGGGCATCTTAGGGTTAGGATATTGCCCAACTTGTGAAGGGCCAGAAGGTGCATATGTACCAGGACCCGGGCGAACCGGGTATGCATTGTTAGATGGTCCCTGATGAAATAGCTGTTAGCTTCGTTTAAACTAAAACTGCGGGTAACATCAAACACACTGGAGGCAAAAGTTCACATACCGTGAATGAATGAGAACTCATGGTTGGCTGCTGATATTGGTCTGCATTCTTCAGTGCAGGGGGAGTTGAAGGAACAAATGTAGTCCTCATGGTTGGCTGAGCATTGCTTGCAGGAGCTGGAGTGAAAGATGGCTGCATATACACACCATAGTCAACAAGTTGGCCCAAGAAATCTGTACATAGCAAACAAAACACTTCCCCACCACAAACTTTTCTCACAACATCTAGGATATAGATTCTACAGAAGAGAACTAAAGTAAAGGTCCACATTATCCTCTTCTCAGGACATGGGTTTAGAGGCTGAAAATGTTCAGTTTTGGGGAGTATTTTTTTAGGTCAAAGAACCAGATACCAATATCCATCTGCTATTCTGACAAAAAAAATTCACACGAAAGAAGAGACTATGCATTTGAGCACCACATACATATTCCAGATGTCATCATATCTCAAAAGCTTGACCAATACCCTTAGACAAAAACATAACAAAAACGGACACTTTCCTGATCTATACAAGAACTGCCAAGTAAGGATGATCATTAATGCATGATGCAGCAAAAGAAATGCAGCAAAGCCAAAACTTTAGAAACCTGCGGAGCTGGCTGAGCTTGGTGAGGCATAAACATGGTTGGTTGCTGCATGGGTGGATGTGAAGCTTGAGGGACATAATAAGAATCAGTGTATGGTTGCTGATACTGATTATCATATGGGTTTGCAAGAACGTTTGGTTGCGCCTGAGTTGGCTCCTAATCCACAGAAGAGTAAAAAGGCTAAGTATGTTATCCGTAAAAGCTAAATGGATTTTAAGTTAAATTTAAAACTATTTGTAGAACTCAAATACCTGATTATATGGCATGGTGCTTTGAGGCTGAGTGTTTCCTGAAGCTGCAGTGTTAGTCTCTGCATATAAGATGTTAAGCTAAATTTATCATCAAAACTCTATTAAACATTAATCAAAAACACCAACTGCATACGCACCAGGTTCTGCAGACAGAGAAATACGATCACGTAATATTGAAAGTTCAGGCGACAAGCCACCAGAATCCAGAACTTTTAAGTACTTCATTGCCGTTGTAAGAAGCCCTTGGCTGGCCAGTATCTCAGCATAACTCTCAAAGAGTTTACACAGAGATGCGCTGAACTTTTTGTTGCCAGTTGCCAAAGCAAGGACAAGAGTCTTCTCCATAAGATCCTATTACAAGATAAGGGCAGAAAAATATGAGCAGAGAAGCCCAATACAATTTATGCGCAAAACATAGAAATTGATACACACTTGAAGAAGCTCAGCATAAGATCTTCCATCCCGCTCATTTGCAAGGCTCCTCGACCAAATTTCTACTGTTCTGTCAACATTGCCTGCGCAAATGTAGCAGAGAACTGCAGCCAAAGTGTTACCAGCAGCCATCAACTTCGAGGCAAGGGCATCGCACAGGGTGGTCCATTGTTCTCCTTGTGCAAACTGTTTGCCAATGAATATAAGATCAGCATTATTTAAAAAGAAGTTTTATAGTGAGCAGAATAGTGTAGCTGACGAGTTGTTCATCTTGGTTCACGAGTCCATGGAGATAACATATCACATTAATAATGTTAAAAAGAGTTCAAAATGATAGCAGAAAATATTTTCGCTGAGTAAGACATGAAAAAGCAGATCCCATTTCCTTTATGATTACTGGAGTGTATTAATAGACAATATCAGTTCATAAATTTCCTTTTTTTCTAAGTACTTTTTCCTCAGTTTGAGAAACTTACAGTACAGAGGAGAGCAAGAGTCTCTTTCCAGAACTTATGTGACCTTGTATAGATAAGGCTCCTGAGATCATTGTTCACCATCGCAGAAACAACCTAAAATAGATAAACATACAGCAGTTTATAGATTTTGCGACCACAAACAGAGATGTAGATGGCACTTACCTACATATCAAGTTGGGAAAGAATATACATATACCTTCATGTAAGGCGCACTGCTCGTCTTCAAATATTTCTCACGAGTACTCTCCCACAACGCTGTACCACCAACATGAGCAATAACTAAAGCATCGGCCATCTTATTTGCAGATATACACTGATCCACAGCCTCCTTGTAATCTCCAACAATCAAAGCACGCTGGATGGCATTATCAAATACTGGGTCAGAACTTTCTTCCTCTTCTTCTTGCATTTCTTGAGTTTCTTCTGCTTTGGTAGAAAAATCTGTGTCAGAAGGCATAAAATCTTTGGCAGACGTAGATACAGGTGTATCCGGTTTAGCAGGAAAGTTGTTAAAGAAGTCTTCTCCATTATCCATAGCAAATGCAGCTGCCTCGTTACTGTCGTCAGGTTCCATTGCATCCGCCGCAGTATCCTCTAATCTATTGCCATTCAGATCTGATGAGAGCCCATTTACTGCCTGATCATTTTCCGCAATAGGCAAAGTAAAGCCAAGATGGCTGATCAACTTTGTCCTTGAAGTTCCTTCCTCTTCGAACATGATTTTCAGTAAGCCCCATGTCTCTTTCTCCTCTTCGGATCTGTGTAATCAGTGAATTGAAATGGTCCAAAACTGAGTTATTTGATGAGTTTTTATAAGGGCGAATATGAACATTTTCAATCACAAGGATGGCATACTCAGTCTCTTCTGATTTCTTCTCGCACAAACCCCTTAGAGAAGTCATATCTCCATTTTCTATTGCAGCTTCAAATTCAGAAGTTCGACTCACCAAACTCTGTTCTGTTACCAGGCTGTGCAAAAAAACCTGAACATGACACTTAGTCAAATTAGAATTGACGACAAAACGGATATAATAGGATAAATAAATCTATCTATATACCTACCTCGGATAGAATGCTCGAAGTACCCTTTGCAGGGGCCCTTGCGTGACACGATACAAGCTTTCCCCCAAATCCAAAAGATGCACCAACCGGGCGCTTATACCATTTTGGTGCTCTTAAAGGAGCTGCATACAGAGGAATATAAGAAGTAATGTTGGTTCTTAAGCAATTCATCCTCCAACATAGAAATGATAGAAGTAATCAACGGTACACAAATGGTTCAGAATGGGTAAATGGAATTACCAGTACCAAAATTATTCTCTTCAGCACCATATCGACTGCAACCCTGCACCAAAAGCGTTGAATACATATTTTTTAATCTACTCTAGGAGGGGAAAAGGGAGATCTACAGTTCAACAGGTCTTGCTAATAAGGTAAATCTCAACTGGAAAGTGCATAAGATTAAACTCTAAAACATTTGATCTCCAGTGGTACAACAAACTGGGAACTCGAAATCTAAATTATATATAGGAAGGAAAATAGTTGATAGGGCTGGATTGACAGGTTCATTATTTGTTATGCCTCATACATTATTTACATTCATCTAGAACAAAACAATTAACAGATACTGAAGGGCAAACTACCAATATACCTCGATGTTGTAGATGCCAATTTTCCCATCAAATGATGATGCTGATATAACTCCAGGTATCTTTGGGTACCAATGAACATCAAAATTCCAATTGTTGCCAGCAGGCAACTCAGCCACAATCTGTCATGGTTGGATCAAATTCAGTCAAAATGGAAAATTGTTAACTAATTAGCGGACCCAGTAAATCTGTATCTTTTATCGATTCCTTCCCACTACCTCTGCTGTATTTGTGTCCCAGCAAATCGTTCGGTTGTCCTTAGCACAGGTAAGAAGATATGAGCTGTCACTTGGACACCACTCCATTGCAATCACCCCTGATAGATAAGAAGTATCACCACTACATTTCACCAAGGTGTAACACTAAGAATGAAGACAACAGGACTATAATATAACGGCACCAAAATATGACTGGGTTAAAGGCTAAGATGGCTGATCTACAAGGCTGTTCACTTAGCAACCATAGAAAATGGTACCAAGCTAGAGAGAAGAACTGACAAAAGCATAGCAGTGATTTGAAAATACCTCTTTGGTGTCCAGTAAACTCGCGCACAGGTGACAATATATTCCTCATGTCCCAGAGCTGATTGCAGATACCTTACATCACTAAAAGAACCAAATTTGAACTATATGAAGCCACACATTAAATGATTCCATACCTTCAAAGTAGGTGAACTGTCGTCATCTGATGCAACCATTATCTGAGTAGTAATGTTAGGGTTCCACTGTAAAACAGAGCACCGACGTCGAACTGAATCTGCAAAGCTGTTGATTGATAATGGCCAGATCAAGGTTTTGACAACAAGTTTCGAGAGCCTCAATAATATCACTTAATAAATTGTATACTTACTTAATTATAGGCTTCTGCTTCCTCAAGTCCCATATTACTGAGGGAAAAGAAAATAAAGATTGATGAGCATAAGCAGAATTATAGTAGACTGACAGAAATGAAGTAGTAATCAAGTAGATAGAGAAAGGAAGAGAAACCCGTAATTCTCACCAGTAGTCCCATTGTATGAGGTAGAAGCTAATATCTGTTGAACTTTTCGATTCCACGATATAAAGGAGATTTCACCTTGCGTAGCAGAACCACTACCCTGCAAAAGACCCTCTCATAAAGTTAAAGATGCTACAGGATTGAAGGAATTGGGTTTATTATACCAAGCAATTCTGAGAGTAAGGTAATACAAAAACCAAGGTTGTTGACTAGTAAGAAGTGGTGGTATACCTTGAGAAGTGGAAAATGAGAAGGCTCTGAAGGCTTTAATAAGTCCCAAATGCAAATTTCACCATCATCAGCCCCAGAAGCAAGTAGATTTGGGTTGATAGCATTAAACTCAAGACCACGAACCTGCAAAAAAGTAGCACGCACACATGAAAATGAGGAGTAATAAAACAAAACAGCGATAAGCAACAAAATAATGCAGAGAGAGGCAACTCACAGGGCCTTTGTGAACTGAAAGATGGCCAACGAGTGCATTTTCACTGGGCTGGGAACTGAAAATGTGACAGAGTTGTTCGAGTTAGACTCGTTCGTTCAGATGAAAATTGGATACCACATACATAGAGTAGCTTAGACAACGAGTTCTTCTAAGAAGAAGAAAAAAAACAGTGATCACTGGGAAATTAAATTAAAATGGCGATTCAATAGCAGCAAAGCAAAGCAAGGCTTATAATAAGAGAAAAGGAAACGCACCCGATCAAAGAAAGAGGATTCCACAGATCTATATTTCCGTCGACAAGGCCGCCGGCAATAAGACCAAGGGAGAATTCCTCGGATCCAGATCCGTTTCTTCCCCAGGCGAGTCTATGGAAGCGCTCGGAGCTGGGGCTTTCCCCAACGAGAGGCAAATCGCGATCGTCAGACTGAAAGTCGAGCTTAAAGATCTCGAGATTGGCGGAAGAGCTAAAGGAGAGATCGACGGCTCCGGCCATGGTTCCGGCGGCCATGTAAGGAGCGTCGGGAGCCAGGGCAACGGAGGCGGATCTGCCCACCCCCTTGATGCAAGCCATATTGGAATCGGGCGATCGGAGATTAGGGTGTGTGTGTGAAGTTGAATTGTTGTAAATTGGGATCTGATGAAGAAGAAGAAGGAGGAGTTACTTAAACCAATATAGATAGATTGATTAGAATGTTTTTTTATTTCATTTCGAGAGGGGTGAAAATGTACTTTCACCTCAAAAGAGTAAGGGTAATCTCGGACACTCCCCTCAGGTTCTGAGAGCCATTCTAAACATGACACGTCACCTACTTTTGAGGCCTAAGACCCATCTCATTTGGGCCCTGTAACAGCTTGCTGGATTACCCAACTTTGAATCGCAACAATTGGGCCCAACACTTGTCTCATCAGAAATAACAACTGCAAAATAGGAATCACATTTTATTTACTTAAGTGGTCGGTCAATGGGACTTGTTAAAAATAATAACTGGCAAGGAATGTGCTGAAACATCGGATCTGGCCAGTGGGGCTCGTACACGGAAGTCCCATGTTCGGCTCCTATCATTGTCTTACATTTTTTTCAGTTCCAAATTATATAAATGTATAATGTATTACGAAGAAACAAAAGATGGAATGATATAGTGTGTGAAAATCAGCATCGACTCACACACCACATGGCATAACATGATCGCTCAGAGACGTTGACATCTTCTCTCCTCGCTCTTTTTTCTTTTCTTTTATTTTCTTCAGATTTTTTAGAATTCCACTTCTACATTGTTATCAGGGTAATGCATTTTCTTCTTTTGAAAAAAGATAAATAATTTTTAAAAAACCAATAACCATTGCACCATTTCTACTTATAGAAGTTGCTATCAAGGTTTGTTGTTTCGTTTTTCTCTCCAAAAAGACCAATAATAATCGAAGGCCATATACGTTCGAAGATTGGTCACTGAATATAGTTCACAACCTTTTATTACATGAAACATATATTAATTGACGCCCAAATAAAAAGCATATAAATTAATCATTAATTTGTTATAGAAAAAAATGCAGTACTTAAAAAATGAAAAACAAATACAATAGTTGTCAAAAAAAAAAAAAAAAAACAATCATTCGAATAGTTGGAGGTTTTGACCCAAAAAGAAGAAAAGAAAGAAGTTGTTTAAAGATGCAAACCCACACACTTGTTTCTTCATTTAACTGTCTCTTCTTCAAAACCAAAACCTTCTACTTTTCTACTCACCAAAAAAAAACAAAAAAACCTTCTACTTTTCTCCCTCGATCGGCCCTACTATAACTCAGTGACATAAGAGAATGAGGAAAGGGCAGGGCTACTCCTACTCTGAAATCGCATCGGTGTTGGTGTTACTGTGTGTGGTGGTGTCTCGAATCGAATGCAGCAGCCAAGTGCACGCCCTGAGCCGTCTGTACCTGTCGAAGCGAGGGGTTGGTGGTTCGTCCACCATGGACACAAGCCATTTTAAGGCTGTCAAGGATTTGAAACCGTCTTCGCTGCGGAGTGTTGCTAATCAGGAGGAGTTAAGAGAGAGAGATCTGATACGGAGATTGCCCGGACAGCCTCCCGTGAGTTTCGATCAGTACGGCGGCTATGTCACCGTCAACGAATCCGCGGGCCGTTCCTTCTTCTACTATTTCGTGGAAGCCTCCAACTCCAAGTCTAAAGATTCTTCTCCTCTACTTCTCTGGCTCAACGGCGGTACGTTTCCATCTTCCACACACACATACGTATACGTATATATACTTCATTTATCGTGGTTTGCATCTATAGTTATGGGTTTATAAAATGTAATGTATCTAAGTAAGAGTAGAAAGATGAACAAGAATGTTAGTTTGATCGATCGAGGCTGTCTTTTTCTCCGTGTTTATTAATCTATCATATGTTATACGATTTTCAGAATTTTAATAGTTGTGAGGACCATACCATATGCCTAAGCCTGCTTCTTCCTTGTATATTTTTAATTATTATTGGCCCGCTCAACAATCGTAGAGTATATTAAAAGGAAAAAGGACACGGCCCCAATCGAAAACTGAGAAAAGAAAAAGAAAAATGATTTGCCTTTTTCAAAAATGGCACATGCTGAGGATTTCTCGGCGTGCTTTGTTGCACAGCTCTACTGCTCAATTATTTAGCCAGCCACTACGTCTACGTATCTATCTATACTGATTTCTATATCATGTAATGTATATTCAAATTCATCACAGACATTAATAGTAAGCTCAGCTCTGTGAACACAAATTCGAGAATTTGATTACAGAAAATGAGTGCATAATACATTATATGCATAATGTGTCTTGGAAATAATAAACAGGACCGGGATGCTCGTCATTGGCGTATGGAGCACTACAAGAGCTTGGGCCGTTCCGAGTGCACAGCGACGGCAAAACGCTTTTTAGAAACCGATATGCATGGAACAATGGTACCTAACTACCTATTGTTTTCTTTTTAAAAAACAAATAATAAATGGGAAACGATTCTTGTGGTTATAAAATAATCAAACGAGGTGTGGTGGTGCAGCTGCGAACGTCTTGTTCTTAGAATCGCCGGCAGGAGTGGGGTTCTCGTACACCAACACAACATCGGACCTGGAGAAGCACGGTGACAGGAATACCGCGGCTGATAACTACATCTTCCTGGTTAAGTGGCTGGAGAGGTTCCCGGAGTACAAAGGCAGGGACTTGTACATCGCCGGTGAGAGCTATGCCGGCCACTATGTTCCACAACTTGCCCATACTATCCTTCTCCATCACCGGAGCTCCCTCAATCTCAAGGGCATTCTGATAGGAAATGCGGTGATCAACGACGAGACCGACTTGATGGGTATGTACGACTTTTTCGAGAGTCATGCTTTGATCTCCGAAGATTCTTTGGCTAGACTAAAGAACAACTGCGATCTCAAGACGGAGTCTGCGAGTGTAATGACTGAGGAGTGCGCGGTGGTGTCCGACCAAATTGACATGGACACATATTACCTCGACATCTACAACATATACGCTCCCTTGTGCCTAAACTCCACGCTCACTCACAGGCCTAAGCGAGGAACCACAATAAGGGAGTTTGATCCCTGCAGTGACCATTACGTGCAGGCCTACCTGAACAGACCTGAAGTCCAAGCGGCCCTGCACGCAAACGCTACGAAGCTGCCTTACGAGTGGCAGCCGTGCAGCAGTGTGATAAAGAAGTGGAACGACAGTCCTACCACAGTGATTCCTCTCATCAAGGAGCTGATGGGTCAGGGCGTCCGCGTCTGGGTGTTCAGCGGAGACACAGACGGGAGAATTCCAGTGACGTCCACCAAATACTCCCTCAAGAAGATGAATCTGACGGCCAAAACGGCTTGGCATCCATGGTACCTAGGGGGGGAGGTGGGTGGATACACAGAGGAGTACAAAGGGAAGTTGACATTTGCCACCGTGAGAGGGGCAGGCCATCAAGTTCCCAGCTTCCAGCCAAAACGCTCTCTTTCACTCTTCATTCACTTCCTCAATGACACTCCTCTCCCTGACACCTCTCGTTACTAAATATTCTATCTGAGATTGTAATTTCTCTCTTATTTAGCTTTTATTCCTCCTCCCATCCATTCTTTATCTACTATTTCCTTACATAACTTTGAATGTTAATATCTGTTTTGCTCTCACGACCTAAAAAGAGCAACTTATCTCTTTACCATCTACTTGTCCACATCTTCTACATTACCAAGACAGTATATTCATATTATCATCTTTAGGACGTAAAGAACGATGCATACCAAGAACTGATGAACCTTGACATCTTTCCAACCGGACCAGGTTCGTGATTGCACAATGCTTGTACCTGAATACCCATGTTTTCTGCTTCTAACTGCAAAGAGGAAACAACAGGACAGCTTGCATCATTGACCATGCCCACCCTCTCTAATTATACATATACTATTATGTAAATGAACCCCTTCAAACACGCTAGTTTACCTTTTTGACTTTCAGTTGGAGTTCATCAACAGCCTGCTGTAAGGATTGTATTGTTTTTGATACAATATCTTCGTATGCGGTTTCCACTTCTTCCATAGAATCTAGGCTGAAAATGATCCCTTCCTGTATAAACACTTCTTCTAGCATCTTGATGTCTTCGTTGCTCATCCTCTCTTTCATCTGTATACAATAACAATAATGCATATCTATCTTCTAGATCCCGTTTTCTGAATATTAGAGAGAATGAGAAAATGGCTGTCGTAGAGTCTTAACCTTCTCTAGGATCCTCCCACATTTTTCATCTTTGGTTACCGAGGAGGGTTCCTCCTGTGCCTGCGCAGATTTCACTTCACTGGCACGTGGTGATGCTTTGATGTGTTTTGCCCTGTACAGTAATTGGAAGCAAACATCTGTCTTAAACACGTTCAGTTATGTAACACATGGAACATGAAAACGTTACTGTGACACTGAGATGCATACCTCATGCCAAACCTGAGGGTTGAGAGCGTCTCAGATGCATTTAAAGTGCTTGGTGAGCAACAGCAAAGCAGTGCCATTCGAGAATTCCCACCCTGTGGCATGAAAACCACGATAGAATTGAGAACAAGCTGGAAAATTATAAAATAAAATCAACCTGAGAAGGTGTACTAACCAGGGCATCCTGTAAGATGCGAGTAAGCTTGGAGTCACGATATGGTATGTGATTCGCTTTGCTAGATGACCCACTTGTGAGAGCATTTATCACGTTCCCCAAGGCTGAGAGCGATTTATTGATCGTCTTCGCTTCTTCAAGAACCCTACCTTCTGCTCCAGTTTTGTCTGCTTTCTCTGAGCCAGCCAGGTCGACAAGAATCAGTTTTCCTGTTTTTACCCTGGTCACATGCCACATATATATAAGCTCCACCATAACAGCATCAGTGTTTTATATGAAAAAGCTTTACCTCTTATCTTTAACTGAATCCTGCTGGATTGTGAACAAGTAGGCGCAGTGGCTTCTACTGCTGGACATATTCATTTCTGTCATTCATTGTTAAACTGGAAACATTTTTCAAGATGACTCTCAATCAGGTTTAACTTTTCAGTCAACTCGGAGTAGCATATGCTTAATCTCACTATCCATTATAAATGGGGAAACACTGAACAAGTAAGTGCTGATAAGCTAAGAGGATACGGGTTTCTCCAACTGCGCGGTTTGCTAAACCGGTCTGAAATGGCAATTGGCATCAGAAATAAGAAATAAGAAGGCAGTATAAGGAAATTAAGAAACTCAGGGTAGCTGCTATCTTACGCATAGATGTTGTAATGCCTCCGCCGAATCTGATACAGGCACCTGAAGCAAGGAATAATTAAAACTTGCCAACCCAGTAAAGATTTTTCTCAACAGTAACAGAAGACATAAGGCAATGAAGCTAGCCTCTGTAACGCCTGACAAGAGAATTCCTTGTGTTTTGTTCTCCTTGATCTGTATGTTTGCTTTTGATAAGTCTAACAGGTCCCTGAGAGAATTAGAGGTATATTTAGCTGTCGATAAGCTATACCCTAGAAGACATCAGAGAGAATTATAGGCATACACATTACCTGACTTTCTCCATGTAGATCTCAACCTACAGGAGACAAAAGGCACGTAAGATATTATAAATACAGGAGAGCTTGTAAAGAGAGTTATAGCAAGTGCATTTAGATCAGAACCATAGACAATTTAACAGTGTATCTTGCAAAATCATTGGAAGAGCTGATTTGCTGAAACATCCCATGGACCACTCTTGGAAGTAGTCCTTTATTGTGGTCATCACAGTCGTGGATGCCTGGTCCCTGAATCAATAGAAGAAAACCAAAATTAGACAGAAGGAGGAATGGTCCTTGTGCTACAGGAAGAGGTAGGTGACCTCCATGGAATATGTCTTCCCAGCCCCAGTCTGCAGTGTATAATAACATGAAACGATCAAAATGAGCCAGCTTAAAAAAGACATTGAAAGCATTTCCAGAGAGGGAAAGAGATCACGAGAACAAACCTGTCCATAAGTGATGATTGTTCCGTTGATACCATTTACAGCGTCTGAAAGTAGTCGGATGCAAAAGACAAAGGTAGGAAACCGTAAAATCATCAGATCGGTGTTCAAATGTTTAGATCTAAAATCGAAAAAAAAGTCATGAATTAGTACCTCTCATGATGGGGAGAGCCAGAAACTCATAAAGCGCAGCTTGGGTAGAGTCCTCATAAAAAACTCTATCAAGGCTAAATGTAAATTCATCTTCCTTGTCATCCTACACGCAAGTGAAGTAATACATGAATTTGAGAGAGAGACGATAACTAATAAGCACATGGCGTCGAGTAGACAAACTTGGAAAACGAAGGATTCAGCGTCGATGGGTCGAGCACAAACACCATCTCTGCTGGGATCGCGCATCTCTTTAGAGCTTCGTGGCCTAAATCGCGCACAGACGGTTACGTTAGACATCTCTCCTCAGTCTACAGTGAAAGAAACACCCAAAATCAGTCAGCAGAGGGTCGCGACGCGAAGATATGGATGAAATTGGGGAAATAATAGCAGAGGACTGAGAGAGAAATTCTGAAAAAAAAAAGAAAGGAATCGGAATCAAATGGAGTGGAGAGTACAGTAGTAGGGTTTCTTCTTACGGGCGGGAAAGAGACGAGGAGGGAGAAGAGGTCACGAGGATACGCACGCACGCGTGTGGGTTGTTAAAATAAGACACGTGTTAAAAGATCGATAATAAGACACGGTAGTAAAGGTACACCACAGCGCAGAGAATAGCGGCTCAGAAAGAAAGAGAAAGAAGGGGGTCTTGTTATCCCCTTGGGCGTGAAGTGGATTAGGCTCGGCTCTTCTTCTTCTTCTTGTACCCATTCCGAAAGAAAGAGAGCTCCAACAATGGCTGCCTGCGCCACTCACTCCTCTCTCATGCTAGCATACGCCGCTCGTTCCCAGGACCTTACCCCCCCTACTCCATCTCTTTTCTCTTTTGCCAGCTCCAGACCCAACCACTTGAGCGTCCCGCTTCTTCTCCTTGGGGGTTCCAGGGACCGCAGATGTGACAGAGCTTCCAACCGAGCTTTCCAGGTTATTGTCTCCGCCGTGGCCGCTGAGGCTGACCTCGACACGGAGGAACAGGACCTGGAGCAGACCGCCACCGCCGTCCTTGATCCGCCCAAGCCTAAGAAAGGAAAAGCCGCTTTGGTTCTCAAGAGAGATAGAGTATATATGCTTTTGCTTTCTATCTTTACCTACTTGTATCTATTCTTCAATTTGATGTTTCTCTTGTTTTACTCATTGACAGACAAGGTCTAAGAGGTTTTTGGAAATCCAAAAGCTTAGGGAAACCAAAAAGGAGTATGATGTCATCACTGCTATATCTTTGCTTAAACAAACTGCCAACACCAGGTTTGTTGAGTCTGTTGAAGCCCATTTCCGTCTCAACATCGATCCAAAGTACAATGACCAGCAGCTGCGTGCTACGGTCAGCTGCTTTCTCTTTGCTGGATATTCACTCTAACTTGTGCTGCTTCATTCCACAACATTTATTCTCTTTTTATAGGTGAGCCTGCCTAAGGGAACTGGCCAGACTGTTATAGTCGCTGTTCTTGCACAAGGTAAATTGCCCCACCATATTATATATGTTTAATTCACTGTTTGGACTTAGGACACACATTATGCTTGCGATTTCACTCAGTCAGTGCTTGTTTGGTGCGATTTTGATTGGATGGAGTTCTTGTGTATCATGTGGTTTATATTCTTCTCACCTAAATCTTTGGCTTGCACCATTTCCATGCTGAACATCCAGGTGAGAAGGTCGATGAAGCCAAAAATGCAGGGGCCGATATTGTGGGCAGTGATGATTTAATCGAACAGATTAAAGGAGGCTTCATGGAGTTTGATAAGTTGATTGCATCCCCGGATATGATGGTCAAGGTGTGTGTTTGATGGTATAATGTTCTAACATATGAAAACCTCATGCTTGGCGAATTATGTGACATGAGATACTTGTAACTCCTTATCTATTTCTAACATTCTTCAACTTGGCGCTTAGGTTGCTGGCCTGGGAAAGATTCTTGGCCCACGCGGACTCATGCCAAATCCCAAGGCTGGTACGGTCACAGCTAACATTCCCCAGGTAAGCCTACTCTGCAACATCTTTTCCTCATTCTGGTAATCATGCCTTAAAGATGCATACATCTCTCAGGCTATTGAAGAGTTCAAGAAGGGGAAAGTTGAATTCAGAGCAGACAAAACTGGAATTGTTCACATTCCCTTTGGGAAAGTTAATTTTACAGAGGAAGACCTTCTCATAAACTTCCTTGCAGCAGTGGTAGGCTGATTCTCCATTCTTATAACATATATGTGTGGGTTTAAAATGCAAAATAATGAAGAGGGCAAAGTAAATGATGAAATGCAGAAATCGGTGGAGACAAACAAGCCAAAGGGAGCAAAAGGAGTGTACTGGAAAAGCGCACACATATGCTCATCAATGGGGCCTTCCATCAAGTTGAACATAAGGGAGATGATTGACTTCAAGCCTCCTGCTGCAAACTAACCAGCAACCGCATCTGTAAATGGGGTCCTTTTGGGAGACAGGCAATGCGAGTGTAGACAGAGAGGAGAAACACCAAGTCTAGTCTGTTAGTTATATTTTCACTTCTCACTAGTTTGTATCACTATGATGGCCATTTG